AGACTTCTGAGTTCTGGTGCATTTGTGTGTGCGGGGGTCATTATGTTACCGCTATGCGATATCTAGTTTGAATTGTAAAATGGTTTTAGTTACATTTTAATAAATTTAAAAAAAACACGTATATTTTAGACACTAGTTGGCCTGTGAATTGATTTCAGATATTACAAAAACTTAATGTCTGGATTAAGTGCTGCTTTCAGGAAACGGTTTCGAAAACAGCAAACATTTCATAAATCTCTTTTGCTGAATTTAGTTGATGAGATTTATATTTATGCCGTTTTACTTTGCACACAGATATCTCATGGTGATTTTTACAGATAAGCAAATGATTAATTGCAGTAACTGTAATCTGATTATTTCAAAAAACTATAATTCGTTGTAAAAACATAACCACAGCCAAAATCACTGAATGGAAAACTGTAAATKTAGAATAGGAGTTCATGAGAAGTAAATACGGACGAGGCAGATATTTAGTTCATTTGCTGGACTCACAACAGCTCATGGAAAGCGAGTGTGATGTTTTGGTGCAAGAGGTCTCCTTCATTTGGCCAAAACCTTTGTAGGACTGGGATGACGACCAGTTGGTACCAGTCCTCGACGTTCGTCACGTCAAACTGCTGCGTCTCTAAAACACCTGTGTTCTTCTGCTCGTAAACGTTGGCCAGCTCAGCCAGCGTGAAGTTGAGCAGGAACTGGGTCAGAGTGGTGCTTTTTATTTCAGATARATTCCTCTGTGGAAACAAAAGGAGAGGAACTCGTTTGATCGAACACAATCTGACAATTAGCCCGTCAAGTTAATTACTGCTTACCTGACTGGTGAAGGAAACAAACTCATGGGCAAAACTCCCGATCGTTGTGAACGCCGTCTTGAAGCCACTAACAATCTGTGCAAGGAGAAAAAGGTGGAAAATGAAACATCTCATTTTGTTATTTTGTTTTTAAACTTTAATTGTAGAATGTTGCTTTGAAAGAAATGGTAAAAGCTATTGAAATTGCAGGACCACCTGTATTTTAGTGTACATGTCCTCAGAGAAAGAGCTGAAAACATCTGGATAAACTGCCTTTTTTTGTCTTTACATGTCAACATGCTGTGACTGGKCGAATTGAGCCTGGCACCAATCCTGTGACCAGTCACACATTAAATAAAAAAAACGAATCAAAAAGGGAGTGATATGGAGAGAAAGACAATTTGAGTTTTGCAAGACCCACATCACATTAAAGAAGACTTGTGTTTTACAAATTAGGAGTGTTTTAGCAGCAGATAGTTTGTTTTAGCTTTTATTYGACATGCAGGGCCTGTAACAGCAACAGAGAACCACTTTATTTCAAACACGTATACAAAACAAAACAAAAAAAATGATAAAAAGTGAAAACAAAATCAACAAAATTAACATATTTGAAAATGAATGGGAAGAAGTCAAAAACTTATTTAATCCCACCCTTCTCCGAAGCTTATTAACAAAAAATAATAGTACATTCTTCTTTTTCCTTATTCTAAGTTGCAATTTCATAAAGATTAAAACAACAATCTGTTTACCTAGAATTTTATATAATACCAGAATATATTTTTAAACGTAAATGTACATCTACATGCAGTGTATATGCATGCACACATAAATGTATGCATACACACATTTATTGCAGAACAAATAAAAAAGACAGAAAACAATGACTGTTAAATGATTGTTTTATCAGCGACAATGCCTGACTTCAATTTTTAGAAATCAGTTTTAGAGCTGATCCTGCTTTGAAGAGCTTTTAGCTCGTCTTACCTGAGAAAACCTTTGTCTGAAACTGTGATTTCTGCTGCAGGTAAGATACTAACTACTAATAACTTCTCTACACAACAGCACTTCAAACGAATTTAAACTATCAATTTAAGTCAGAAAGAAATCTAGCTCTGTGGAACCTCCTTTTTATTGCATTCACCCTCAAAACAAAAAAAATGTATACAAACTGGACAGAACAGTTTGGATAAGTATGAGAGGCAATTTAGGCCATAATTCAAACTTGCTCTCACATGTACTATCAAACTCTTCCACATTTACTATCAAACTYTCTCACATTTACTATCAAACCCTYTCACATTTACTATCAAACTCTCTCATACATATTATTGTGCTTTCAGTTTTGGAGCACGTTCTTTAAACAAAAGATTCTGTGACGTCACTTGAGTTCAGTGTTTTGTTGGGATTCTTTAACGTCTGTTATTGTTTTGCCTTGACTTTAAGCTGATTTTAGACAGACGGCATTGTACATTGATAAAGAATGAACCTGACTGACTGTGAGAAATATATCCACTGAGGATGGGAGAGAAACTGAAGTCCTGTAAAATGAATTCTGTTGAAGCCACAGATGTTTTGAAACCAGTTCATTTCAGCCAACCGTGTCACTGAAGTTCTTTCATGCTGGCTTCACATCAGATAAAAGACACCTTTGTCTTGTTTAGTACAGTCTGTGTTGAACAAAACTAACAAAGGTTTTTCACTGACTGAACAAAAACAAAWGTAATGTCCAACTCCTGATTTTCCTTTATCTGACACAAAGGTTTTTTTTAAACAAAAAGAGGAGTGAGCAGAGAAAACAYATTTACTCTCTGTGTCTTTATTGAAATTAATTTTCAGACATGAATCATGAAGYTGTAAAAAGTCACTATTATAAGATTTGAGGAGATTATATAAAACGTAAATAATATCAGGTCAATCTAAGAATACACGAGATATAAAGTCTGCCGTCGTACCTCTGAGAGGCTGCTGTGTGAAGAGTAGGGATTGTACGTCGAAGGTAACCCTGTGAGGTTTCCAGAGGGCGGAGGAGCAGATTCTCCTGTCAACAAGCTGTTGAAGATCAGMGACAGGGTGCCGTTGTCCAAGTTTTGCACCTCAGGACTCAGGAGGAGCTCCGCCTTTTGTGTTGGAGACAGCAGGTGGAGAACCTCCAACTGAGAGGAGAAACACAGGAAGTGAAGACAAAAGATCAAGAGAGGACCGGGAGTTAGACGAGTGAGAGAGTCATAATATAAAAAAACAAAAAATTAAAAAACAAGCAGAAACACATAATGTACCTGGTACTTACAGTGCACATACTGTACCAAGGATGTATGGCAGACAATACATCTACTACATGCCCCATAAACACATAGTACATAATCAGTACACTACCTGGTATCCTGTATGTATCAAGTATGTGCCTGGTACTTGTAAGGTACACACTGCGTACTGACAGGGGAATTATTAGATACGTAAAGAGTACTTACAAGGCACATAAAGGAAACATACTGGGCACATATTGGTACACTGAGCATATACAGGGTRCTAAAAGTTACATATTAGTTACTTACAGGATACAGACAGGGTACATACCTAGTACATGCCTAGTACCTATAGTGTATGYACTGGGTACATGCTTAGTACTTTGGGTAATCGCAGGTTATGGCTTGGTACTTATCGGGTATGAGGTACATTTGCTGTGAATGCAGGGTAAAAATGACTAGATTAAACAGCCTGGTTTCTTTGTGTATACCTGTACCAGGTAAGTACCAGAGAAGTATCAGGTACCAAGCTGTTTTACTACCAAAACAYATAAAATAAAGTATTTTTGAACACATCCTCTGTTTTCAAATGTGACAATGTCTAAAGACAAGTTGAACTCACTCCACTGAAGACCATGTTGATGGTAGAGAAGTCCTCCAGTCGGGCCATGGCTCTGAAGGAACCAAAGTTCTTCATCAGCCAGTCTTCACTGCTTTCATCCGGGTTCACACAACCTGTACAGAAAACACACTCATTCAACAGGAGATCAGATTAAATCAGCKTTCATGCATCAAACCTGGCAGTAAAACTTTAACTGCTCTATTTTTGTAAAGTGATGATGGTAAAATCATTATTTATAAATTTATTTCATTAATCTAAACAAAAAATAATCTATATGCAATAACTAAAAAACAGAGTACATCAAGCCCTGAATGAAAAGGACGCAAAGAGAAGCAAAAAAAAAATCCTTATATCTGCCACTTGTTTCCAAAAAGAAAACTTCAAACAAACAAAATCAAGCTTGAACAAGCTCCAAATTTGAAAACAATAACAAATTAAAATAAAATAAAATAAACTCAAGTATCTCCATCTTATTTCCACTAAATATTCCATGATTTCATATATTCCCAATAAATTTGACTAAATCATATTTTTGAATATCTTGTTTTAGAAATGTTTACATCAGCATCAAGAGAATTCCACAAATGTTCTCTGAAACGCAGCACCTCTTCAGACTGGTTCAAAATGAACAATGTTTGGATCATGTTCTTATTTTTACTTTGACTTTGATGTTTTCATTTTTCTCTTATCATCAAGGTTTTCTGTTTTGAAGCTCCCACCACTTAAAAATTATTATTTACACATCCTTGTTTGTACATTATTTCAGTCTTTAATATGTTGAACGTGTTAGTTTCATATTTGTGATTTTGCCACATAATTGATCGTCTATATTTTATTTATCATACAAAGAAAAAAGTCTGTTTCATTCCTAAATCTGGTGTTTGCCGTCAACTCAAACATCAAATTGTRCTTATTTTGTTGAGCTTATTACAGCAGACTAGATGATGTGTATTTTGTATTTTACATTAATTCTAAGTTTCATTGTTTTGATTTTAAACCTTACCAGCAACTCCATCTCCAGAGAGGAAGGGGTAGATGAAGAATGAATAGATCCACTTCTGTCTGACTGGACTYAGCTCAGAGTAATGCTGACTGAGCTCCTTCAGGCTGCAGGGAAATAAAAARGAAAGAATGATAAACAGAAACGATTGTCACGAAAGCATCTGCCATTCAAGCATTAAAGAGACAGAACTAGAACACACATGGTCTGATAGGTGGAGCAGCTGAAATTCTTGGTGCTGAGGCAYGACAGGAAGTGTTTGTTGATGGACTGCAGCAGAGGCTTGATCTTGACCTCCACCCACATCTGGACCAGAGCTTCGTTCTGCAGAGGGTCTGCCCCAGGCTTTAATTCCAACGCTCCTGTCAGGCTCAGGAGAGGCACGTCTGTCATGCTGGATTTCTGCAGCAGCAACAAGTTGTTAAAAACACTTGCTTATAAAGTGAGGATTTAGTGGTTTAAAGATTAAAAACAAATCATTGATGCAGTTTAATTTCATTGCAAGTCCTTTTCTTGACGTGACATGGCAATAGAAGCTGCAGCGGTCTGGCCTAACTGGAATCTGAGCAACATTTCTTGACTTCAAGTGTCAGCACSATCATACCATGAAGGTGTAAATGTCCCACGTTGCTTCAAGCATCTTTTTCAGGTTTCGCACGTGTTCTTTACCCGTGTCTGTTGAGGGCAACCCGACACACTGCAGGAAGCTGGATGTTGCATCCTTTCRTTCGAAGACATGAAAAGAACGCGACAAACAAGGAAGTCATTTGTTGTGATTGTGTTCTAATGTGTCAACACACACAAAACGTTAGCATCATTCAGGACATTCTTTACTAAAACAATGCATTCTGCCAAAGTTATTTCATGTCATCTAACTGTGCCAGGCTGATTTATTTTAGTTGGATTGATTCGACTCATGTAAAAAAAACTTTTATTTTTTAAACTGATAATCATATTTGCTT